ACTATCTTTACAAGTATACATATACACAAACTGAGTTTCCTTACAGATATGCGATCACAACATGGTCATTACATTTGTTGACGCTAGGCATCCAGGGGCGAATCATGACTCATTTGTTTGGAATGTGAGTGTCGCAGAGCAGGAGCTAAAATCTGATTATAACAATGGGAAAACCAACACATGGCTACTTGGTAAGTTTTAAAACTTAAAAAGGCTATAAAACTATTGATGACAATGAAAATTTTTTTAGGTGATTCTGGTTACCCCTTGCAGCCATACTTGATGACGCCATTCAGAAGCGCAGCCGATGGAATTCAACGAAATTACAACACAAAGCACTCGAAAGCTCGTAATGTAATTGAGAGATGTTTCGGTGTTTTGAAAAACCGATTTCGATGTATAATTGGCTCGAGAGGACTACATTATTCACCGGAAAAAGTAACACAAATTGTAAATGTGTGCTGTGCTATTCATAACGTTTGTATATTTTTCAAACATCAAATTCCATTGGAGATCCCAGATATGGAGAATCTTGTTAGTTACGAAGAAGAACTTGAAAACAGTAACATTTCGAATACAGCTGCCCTTATTAGAATGAGAATAGCAGAGAGTTTGTTATAAACGCAGTTTTATTATAAAGTATGTGTGTCTAGATTTCAGGTACACTAGCAAAATTCATTTATGTCTTAAACCTAATAAAATATTTACATACAAATTCAACAAAAAATATTTTCAGTCTTAAATCTTAAATCTACATAAATACTAAAAAAATGCAACAAAATATTAATTCACTTAAATTTAAAAAATTTTTACACAAAAAAAAAACAAAATATCTTTTCAGTCTTAAATCTTAAATCTACATAAATACTAAAAAAATGCAACAAAATATTAATTCACACTTAAATCTAAAAAATATTTACACAAAAAAAACAAAGTATCTTTTCAGTCTTAAACCTACATAAATACTAAAAAAATGCAACAAAACATTAATTCACACTTAAATCTAAAAAATATTTACACAAAAAAAAACAAAATATCACTTCAATACAATCACTATGCAAATTAGTTGTGGAAGTATTCCAAAAATTTTTCAAAAATTGCAGATTGGCGTTCCACTGCAGCAGTTAATTTATTTGTGGCTTCCACCTGCAGCATTGATGCCTCTGCCATTTTTGTTGCAGCCTCAGCCTGCACTTTAGCGGCTTCGGCTTGGATTTTGGCAGATTCAGCCACTGTCTCTTGGAAGGTGCGCTTCCTATTTGTGGAACGTAACGTGTGCGTTGGTGTAGGGCGGGTTGTCTGTGTAGTGGGAGTCACTACTCCCACTGGTGGTGGTTGATTGTGCCTTATAGGGGACTGAAGGGTTGTTGGTTGCCTTCGTTCATCTAGTGTCGGCGATTCTGGCACAAATAAAGGAGGCATTTCCTCAATCGACGAATGTCTGGATGCGTTTGAAGTCGCCGTCGAAGGAATGCCGAAAACTCTACCGCTGACCTTGAAATAAAAACCAGGCTGTCTATGGTCTGCTCCATTTCGGAAAGCGGAGAGTGGCGGAATGGGCCACCACCGGTAGCAGTAAGGCTCCGTGTATTTTCGGCAATCTTTTTTTTGTCCGGCTTTTCAAGTCAGCCCATATCTTGAAAAAAAAAATAGAATCCAATGTCAGTAAAATGGAAATAGTGTGAAAACATTTATCTACGACATACAATGTATGTACATATGCTTACTTTCTTCCATTCGACGGCCGTTCTTGTAGGTGGACCATGAGAATTAATTTTCCTCATAATTTCCTCCCACCGCTCCTCGACCCTTCCTCGATCAGAACCAAACACTGCAACACCTCTGGCCAGGTCAGGATTTCTCTCCATTTCTTTAACTAATACCTCAAATTGTGTGGTTGTAGTTT